GGCTGGAGTACAGTGGTGCGATCTCAGCTCACTGCAACCTCCGACTCTCTGGGTCAAGCAATTCTCCTGCCTCAGCCTCCCAAGTAGCTGGGATTACAGGCACACACCACCACGCCCAGCTAATTTTTGTATTTTTTAGTAGAGACGGGTTTTCATGGTCAAGATAGTCTCAATTTCCTGACCTCATGATCTGCCTGCCTCAGCCTTCCAAAGTGCTGGTATTACAGGCATGAGCCACTGCACTTGGCCGGGAAGTTTTCTTTTAAAATTATTTCCTGTCCATCTAAATTTAAGGGTTTTCTTTGTTTTTGTTGTTGTTTTGTTTTTGAGACTGGGTCTCGCTCTTGTTACCCAGGCTGGAGTGCAATGACGAGATCTCCGCTCAATGCAACCTCTGCCTCCTGGGTTCAAGCAGTTCTCCTGCCTCAGCCTCCTGAGTAGCTGGGATTACAGGCGTGTGCCACCACGCCCAGCTAATTTATTGTATTTTTAGTAGAGATGGGATTTCCCTGTGTTAGCCAGGATGGTCTTGATTTCCTGACCTCACCCACCTCATCCTCCCAAAGTGCTGGAATGACAGGTATGAGCCACCGTGCCCAGCTTAAGTTTCAAGACTATATGTGATCGCAGCAATGATCTCTATTGCTCTTAACCCCATGAAGCTTTTTTTGATACAGTACCTCAATTTTCAGATTATTTGAAGAGGCTCATATTATATATACCCTATTATCTAAAACAACAACTTTCTTGGAGTCAAAACAGTTGAGGATTTGCTATTGATAGCTGTATAACTTTAAGGAAATTTTTTTTCTTTGATAGTAGTTCTCAAGGAGACTTTAAGGAAATTATTATGTGATTTCCTTTAAGGAAAATGGGAGTCATTACTACCTTGCACAGAATTTGTAAAGTTTTAATAAAACAATATATGCATGGTGTCAGACATATAACATGTGAAGGCGAAATAGTAACTCTTACTAATAGTAATGGTGTCAAAAGCAAAGAAAAAGAATGGAAAATCTTGATGCCTTAGAATTAGGCAATTATGCCAAGCGCCTTGACTCACGCCTATAATCCCAGTATTTTGGTCGGCCGAGGCAGGAGGATCACGAGGTCAAGTGTTCAAAACCAGCCCGACAAACATGGTGAAACCCTGTCTCTACTAAAAATACAAAAAGTAGCTGGGTGTGGTAGTGGGCACATGTAATCCCAGCTACTCAAGAGGCTGAGGCAGGAGAATCATTTGAACCTTGAGGCAGAGGTTGCAGTGAGCCAAGATCGTGCCACTGCACTCCAGCCTAGGTGACAGAGCGAGACTATCTCAAAAAA